AAATTTTTATGATATCTTAAAATTTATATTTTATTAAAAAATAAAAAATATTATCGCTTTCTCAATACATTTAAAAACCATATTATATCAATAAGATAAAAATAAAACAAAGTTACGTAAGTACCCTTATTGTGAATTTAAATGTAGAAAGTAAAATAAAAAATGTTGTAAGAAAACGTTTATTATGATCTTGTGTGACATATTTTGTTTGTAGGGTCCAAAAAAATAATTATAGAAAAATATTATTAATTAAAAGGGCATTTTTGTAATTAATCCAAAATTCAATTAAGCTCATTAAGCTAGGCCCAACTCATGCCAAAAATGGGCCACGAGACCTCTAAAGCCTTATTTGTGAATTCTATATTTACAATCATCGGTTCTCCTATGCCCACCTTTGCATCTAGGGTTTTGAAGCACTCCTAAGCCGACCACCGCCACTGCAAGTAGCGGCGAACGCCACCACATCTCCGCCACCATGGGTCGTATGCACAGTTCAGGGTACTCCTTCTCCTCTATCTCTCTAGAATTCATATCTATCGATGCGTTGCGTATATGATAGTGTTGATGTTCATAGATTTGCTTTCGGATTTGCATACGATAGTTTTTCCTGGTCTTGAAGCTTGCTTAATTTGATTTCTGTCTGAAACGAGTTTTTTTTTTAACGCAAGTTTTAATATGTTTATGTTTCAAACGAAAAACATTTCGAACATTTTGGAGTTGTTTATTGAATTTGATTAGTAATTGGTTTGAACAAGTGAATCGACTTCTAATTTATATCGATATGATTGAATTATAAATGCATGTTGATTCAGGTATATGTTTATCAGATTGAAATGTGATTTGATTTTTGTTTTGTGAACAGAAAGGGTATTTCCGCATCAGCTAAGCCATACAAGAGGAGTCCACCAAGCTGGTTGAAGATCTCCTCTCAGGATGTATGATACCATATACTTTCATCTTCTTTATGTTTTTGCTTTTAACTTCTCAATGTCTATGTTACTGTTAGATATTACCTTGGATTTCGTTGATAACTCCGCCTTTTTCTGAATCTCCTTTTGATATCTACCTTGCTTTCATTAAGGTTTTTGGGAGTTCTGATTGTAGGTATAAGCCATTTTATGAGAAACAAAAGGACTTGTTTTAAAATTGAAATGCGTATGAAATGAATCTTGATTTTGTTCTACAATTTTCTGTTCCTCATTGAATGGATTTGTTGTATGTGAAGCTTGAATTCAGTGTTTTCCTATGTTTTGATGCCTTGTTAATTTAGTTTAAAAGCATTTGTCTGATGGAAGTAATTATTTATCCTTTTCATTATTATCTAAATCGTTGGCAATGTAATCAATCCTAAGAATGTTTTATGGATTTGATGTGTATATTCTCTTACATGTTGTGCTTGTTCTTTTGCTGCAACATGCTTTTTCAATACTGCTCAATAAAATTGAATTGTTTTTGTTATTCTTTAGTGATTACTTCAGAAATCTTGTTGATAGTTCTGTTTAAGTTTGTAACTTGATTATAATTCTTTTCCTTAATCCTACAGGTTCAGGACAATATCTGTAAGTTTGCCAAGAAAGGGCTTACACCCTCACAAATTGGTGTCATCCTTCGTGATTCTCATGGTATTGCTCAGGTGAACAGCGTAACCGGGAGCAAGATTCTCAGAATTCTTAAGGCAAATGGTTGGTTTTATCATTATGATCGTTTTTTGTAAGTTTTCACATTTTGTTGGGGGCATGCTACTAATTTGTTCTATTTATTTATTTGCCAGGCCTTGCTCCAGATATTCCAGAGGATTTGTACCAGCTCATCAAGAAGGCAGTTGCTATCCGAAAGCATTTGGAGAGGAACAGGAAGGACAAAGATTCGAAATTCAGGTTGATTCTTGTCGAGAGTAGGATTCATCGACTTGCCCGCTACTACAAGAAAACGAAGAAGCTTGCACCAGTCTGGAAATAGTAAGCTTATATTTTTACCCATCATCAATATCGTTGCATATATGTTTTCTTTGTTACCCAATTGAATAGTTGTCTTCTTTATGTTTTTACAAATGTTTATTACCCTTTACCTTGCCGACTTTTTGCATCTTTTGCCTAATGTGTGGCCGGGTGGTCCAAACCAAGCCAAATGGGCCAGGTATAGCCCCTGATCTGACTACTTGTTGGGATGGGGATGGGGATGGGCTTGAGATATGTTGCAGACAAGGCCTCTATCCTAATTAGTAAGGACCTGTTTGGTAACACCATAATGAGCTTAATTGAATTTGCAACTTATTTGGTTAACTATACATTTCTGTTTGCTAGTGGGGTAATAATATAGAAAGTGGCTTATTTAGTAAGATTTTAGGGGGGGTTTTATATAGAAAAGCTAGTTTTCTCGCAACCATCCCCTCAATTAAAAAACACTAGAAGTGTAATTGCGCAATGCATGGAGAAACATTTCAATTTTAATGTTTCGTTTTATACTATAGTTTTGTATGGTTTTTTGTTTATATTTGAATAAAATATAAATTTGAAGACCAATAATAATTTCTATAGATATTAGTAGCAAATTAACAATTTAAAAGTTCTTGTTTTTTGTATAATTTTTTTAGTACAATTTAATTTAGGTTTAGTTTGGATGTAATTCATTTTAGGTCTAATAATATCATGATTTTAGTTCAATCTTTTTATTATAATTTAGTTTANGTGTTACATCTTCGATCGATCACACAAACGACATCAATGTGATACCTAAGCACATATATGATGCATTGTGATACCATTGTAACGGTGGCCGGAGATAATATAATTTTTTTTGTAAAGATATAATTAAGCAGTCTTTTAGAATTTAATAATTATTCTAATTATATTTTAGATTATTTATATTTATAATAAAATATTTATACTGTATTTGATTATGTTTATGAGTTAGTTATATAAAATCAAGCATACAGCTTTAAAAAGTTGTATTCATGTACCATTTAGTTGTAATCTTGAATTTTAAATAATATGTATCATTAAATAGTACTTTATAATATAAACCGTGCAATGCAATGAGATACATCTAGATTTTAATGTTCTATTTTATTTTTTGTGTGATTGTTATAATATGGTTTTATGTGATTTTGAGAAAGTGAATATATTTTATTTGTGAATGATATATAAATTTGAATATATCAATAAAAATTTGAAAAAATATATATTGATATTAATATCAAATTGACTATTTAAAAATTATTGTTTTTTTTGTGTATTTTTTTAATTCAAAATTTTATTGTAATTTCACTAATGTTTAATAACTAAGTAGTTTATTTTTAGTTTAATAATATAATCTTTTGTAAAGATAATAACTAAGTATTCTATTTGAATTCAATGATTATTCTAATTAAAATTTAGATTTTTTATATTTAAAAAATATTTAGAAGCTCACCAATTTACTTGTAATCTTGAATTTTAAGTAATATTCATCAATAATAGTTGGTTAAGAATCTTATCCGTTCAGAAAATCTTGCATGTCAAAACTTGTTGAAACCAGAAAACCGAACATGTAGTTTCCTTGAGCGTTACTCAATTTGGCACAATTTATATATATATATATATATATTAAAGTTGAAAATTTAATTGTGAAGTGATTTAATTGTAGGTTTGACCTGTGATGTTGATTGCATACTGATATGGTTAACTTTTTGCAGCGAGTCGACCACGGCTAGCACCATGGTGGCGTAGAGAAGTGCTGCTGTCTTGTGAAAGGTGGAAGCGAATTTTGAGTTTGATGAGTATGGTTTTAGTTGTAATGTTGGTGACTGGTTTATGATATGAGTAGATGAAAAGATTTTGTTGTTTGAAGATGAAATTGATGATTGTTTTTCAGACATGTTTACTGCTGTGTTTTGTTTAGAAATGGATCTATCCGTGCTCGACTTTCTGAATTTCTCAATTTTTCTGATTATAGCGATTTAAGTTCTTGAGGTCAAATGATAATATCACAATCTTGTAGGCCATTTTACATTTATCAACTAGTTTTTATAAAACGTAATTAGTTAATCAGCTTGTTTGCCATATATAGTCTTTGTTTTTTTAATTAGTACAAAGTGTCATTTAAGAATAAGAGTTGGGTGTTGTTTCGTAAATATAACATTTTTTTTTCTGTAAATTGATCCGATGCATCTTAACGATATTATTACTAATGATATTCAATCATGATTGATCCAATAATGAAGATTATTTCTTATCTTTTTTATCATAATTTTCATTCTCATCAGAACTTAAGTTTTATTTCCGACCAAGAATTAAGTATGAATAAAAGTTAATGGTTGTTCGTTTACCTCTTAATAATTCTATTAAAAACCAACATATGAATCGTTAAGAGCTGAATCTTGTTTGACAGTTTTTTTTTTTTGTTTCTTAATGGTTCTAAAACCTCTTAATGATTTTGTATCTTAGGCCTCCTTTGACCATTAAGCGCCTTAATTTCATTGTAAACAATTATCAAACAATTATATTTCATTTTGTACTATATCATGAAAGTCTTTTAATCATTTTTCATTAAATCATTCAGCAACTGTCAAACAGACTTTTAGATGTGTAAGAAGAGATTTGGACCTTTCATGACTTTTAATCTCACCTACCCCTTGAATTGCACTTGACATAAGAATTAATTTGGTATTGATAAATCATTTCTTATACTTTTCACCATAACTTTCATTCTCATCATAACACAATTCTTTCATTTAATTTGCTTTCTAGTAATAACTGAATGCTGATCGAAACAAATTAGAAAACACGATCTACAACTATTTAAAAATCTAAATCAAATTTTTATTTATTTTAAATTTTTTATGAGGTTTCATCAAAATAACTTGGTAACAATATTTTGAAGTTCTAATAATACAATAAAATTGTAATTTAGATTACTTAAAATACTGAGGATATTAAATTTTTTAATTCAAATATGTTTATGTTATACAATTAGACGAATGATCGTGAGAGTAAAAGAGTTAAACTGAGAAGCGTAAGAAAAAATCTGAATCCTTTATCACTTTTAATCTCATGCTGACCCATGAATTACGTTTTCGAAAGTAATTGATCTAGTACACCTCGTTAATCTTGATATTCAATTAGAATTTGTTCAAGAATGAAAATCTCTCCTCATTGGAACCCAACCTTATACAATTAGCAATCATTTATTCAATAAAAATATAAACACAAAATGTTATGACTTAAAAACCATAATTAATTAAAATATTATTAAACATAAAAAAAATAATTAAACGTTATCTATATGTACATTTTGCTGGCGGTCACGGATCCTAAGGTTTATAGCTCTGTAATCGTGCACATTTTTCAAGCGGTGCATTAAATACATTCCTATAATAAAAGAAAGTGCATATAGCGTCATCATTTTTTTAGGGAAACTAATAGAAATTGCAATTTTTGAATACCAAATTTATCTTTTAAGTCATTTTTTTTCCTTGTAAATTTTCAATAAATCATTATCTCTATAAATATCAACTTCTCAACTTGTTGAGGGGTCGAAATTAAAACAAAAAATTATGAACATGGTCTGCGGACTAAATCTGTAAATTAGTTCAAATACTTCTACAAGTAACATTAACCCAAACTAACTGACATATTTGGTCCTGTTGCAGACCATTGTTATATATATATATATATATATATATGGGACTATTCAAGGGAGAACTGAGTTGTTTATGGTAACTGTGAGAACCAATATTAACCACAAATCAATAGATAAATTAAGAATTTTATAAATTTGATAATTTTAAATTAAAATCTTAATGCAAAGATATTTTTGGTATTTTAAAACTCTCCTCTCTCCTCTCTTCTCTCTCCGGCCACCATTCTTCGGCCTCCGGCCACCGTCCTCCGGTGATACCACTATGATACCTAAAAATATTGACTCTATTAAACAAAAGATACATTGTGATACCTAATCATATATAAGATGCATAGTGATACCAGTGTGTTACATCTTCGATCGATCACACAAACGACATCAATGTGATACCTAAGCACATATATGATGCATTGTGATACCATTGTAACGGTGGCCGGAGAGAGAAGAGAAGAGGGAGGAAAGTTTTAAAATACCAAAAATATCTTTGCATTAAAATTTTAATTCAAAATTGCCAAAATTATAAATTTCCTAATTTATCAATTGATTTGTGGTTTATATTGGTTCTCACAGTTACCACAAACAACTCAGTTCTCCCTTGAATATGCCCCTATATATATATATATATATATATATATATATATATTTTAAATCTTACATTTTGACTACCCCATAAATTGAGAAGTTGTCACTTTTGAAGGTAGTAATATTTTTAAAATTTCCGAAGAGAAATTGCTATGAGTTGAATTTAATATCTGAAAATTACTATTTCTATTTATTTCCCCCTTTTTAATATCCACTCTGAAAGCCAAAAAAAAAAAAAAAGAGTCTGAGAGAACGCAAAGAGGTTGTATTGCACTAGATTAAAGGTTATAGATGTTTGGTTAACTTTGTTCACGTTGGTTAAATCATCTTGATCAAAATACTATTTTAAAAATCGACGGTTTGGATCATCTTGATCTGGCCACTACAATTGAAATAAACAGTTAGGATGATCTCAATCTAATGGCCACAATTAAAACAAACAATTGGGATAATCTCGATTTAAATGTTATAATTTATATCGTTACATACAAGACTAGAAACTCTTGTAAACTTCTAAAGTCGCATAAATTTAGAAAAATTAAGAACATTCTAGAATGAATGTCATGCTTTACGTCGCTACATGAAACCCTTCCGGAAGGAATGGTCAACGTCAAAATTAACAAATGTTTAAAAAGTCAAAATTAAGAGGTTGGTCAATAAAACGTGTGAAAAGGGTTATCTTATCATACTATTATTGGAATTAGTTTTGGTTTACTCTCACTTATGTCTCACCTAAAACAAACATGTGTGATATTTAATAATTAATTAATTAATTTATTTTCTAGACTTAGGCCTTGTTTGTTTTTACCTAAAAAACAATTAATACCCTCTTATGTCTGAATCGGTCAGACCTTAGGGTATTAAGTGTGTTTGTTTTTTTTCTTCAATTAAGAGCTTAAAAGCTTTGATTATGTCTGAATTATTTAGAGGTAACATTTTCACTTAAAACCTCTTAATTGCTTTTAGAGCTTCCAATGCTTGCAAAGAAAGCCTAGATTTCAATGATTCAAATTTCAGATTTCAGACGTAAAAACAAACAGTCTGACTTATTCAGATTTCAGACTTCAGCACCACCTCTTAAAATTCAGAAGTGAATTCAGACTTCAGACTTAAGCACCTCTTAAAAAACAAACGCCACCTTAGTAGTTTAATGTAGGATCGAATTTTTGTGATAAAAGAAATTATGGTCAGAAGTTTAAAAAGAGATCTGAATCTTTGAATCAATCCTAATTGAATTAACATTAATAAGGTACTCCAAAATATACCGAATCAATTCCTTTTTAAAGTGCAATTCATAGATGTACATGTGATTAAAAGTGATTGAGTGTTCATATCTATTCTTATCATAACTTTCTTTTACATCTTAGGTACTAAAATGAAAATTTTAAAATTTATTTATCCAAAATAAAAATCAAGTTAAAGTATGTTATTTTTTTATTTAATTTGTCAAACAATAAAACTCAAACTTTCAAAAGGTAAGTATTTATTATATATTTTAGAAAAAGTGCGGTGGAAAAATAATATATGAATTAAAAATTAATGAAGAATTTAAAACTAAAACCGCAATAATATTTTGAGTTTGTTTCAAATGCAACTCAATAAATTAAAATATTTAATGAAATAATGAAAGTTTATTTATTATGATTTAAATATTTATGAAAGATGAATAAGATTCATTAATTATGATCAATACTTTATATTAGCAAACAATCAAAATTTATATAAAATTATATATTCATTAAATTAAATGAATGATTAAGATTGAATTGTATTTGCTGTACAAATATAAAAGATTGTATAATAAGTATTTTTTTTTTTTTTCTATGTAGTCGGGTAGGTATTATAAGCGGTGGAGAATGAGATGACGTCACCAAACTCCATTTCTGTTTTCTCCACCTCTCCAAGCAAACACCAACTTCTATTCCATTCTACTCGCCTATAAATCGGACCTTCATTCATCTCCATCCGAATTGTTTCTAGCTTCTTTCAACTCTCTGCAAATTCTTCACAATTTTACATAAATTATCAATGGATACAACTGTTTATTTTGAAGATCAAGTTTCAATTTCAATTGAAGATGGTGAAGTTCTTAAGGCAGACTCTGATTCCGATTCCGAATTGGCTGTTTCGAGTGATCCGAGATTTGGTATCTTCTCCAGCGATCGATTGATGTTTCAGAGACTTGAGGAAGGAAACAGCGATTTTGAGGTTCTTAAGAGGAGTTTTATCGGCGGAATGAGGGATTTCGGGAGGAATATTGATGTGGTCGGGATTCATAAGAAGAATTATGGTTGGAGAGTAATGGATGATGCTCGGATGGAAGCGTTTAAGGTTTTTGCTATGGCGGTTGCTAGTAGAAATTGTGGAGATGCGAACATTAAGTATGGTTGGTATGGCGGATCTCGTGATGAGATTCGTGAGATTTTGTTGTATGGATTTCGTCGATTTGAAAACAGATCGTCGTCGTATGGCCGTGGGGTTTATCTCTCTCCGGCGAACCTTCCGATGGAGAGGTTAGTTACGGTTCTCCATTAACGTTGTTTTTTAGTTTTCTTCTTTACATGATTCCTGTTCAATTTTCCATTACCTAGAAAAATCAAACCTTAAAATCATGAAAATGAATCGAGTTCCATTTTTGGGTCCCCTGCTAATTCAATCTATTTTGTTCTTTCATAATTTCAACAAATTTCTCAAAATCCTTCTCGTTTTTTTGGTTGTTCAACGGTATTCTGCTAATGGGTAATATTCTTGGAGTACATATATATATATATATATATATATATATATACACACACACACACAAAAAATATAGATGGAGGATCGGGAGAGAGGTCGCTCAATTTGCAAGAAGTGCTAAAAAGCTTAAATCACATGTGATGATAGAGTAAAGTTACAACCTTAAAGCTCATCGTATCATGGGATTCTGGAGTAAAATAAATCATGTGATGCAACACGTTCAGAAGTACACAACCTTAAAGCTCGCGATATATGATTCTAGAGTAAAATGATACATGATGTCCAGAATCACGCAATCATAAAGCTCGCCCACACCATGGACCTAACCCGATATTTTTGTATCACATGTCATTTTACCCTAGAATCACATGTGAATTTACCTAGAATCACGTGTGATTTGGGTCTTCTTGCGGTTCTCCCAAGATGGCTTTATTCTGGCTTGAACTGCCTAAAAATTTACTCTCAACTTTTTTTTATTAACCTGGATAATCAACTCGCTATGCGAGCCGACTAATCCCAGGACGACCACCTGCGCTTTGCAGATAACCCGAAGTCACCGCATTTGAACCTCCATGGCCACAAGAGGATTTTTATTGCTCATTGGATTTGAACTTGAGACCTCCTGGTACTTTTGATCTTTGGAGCGAAGCTCAAACCAATCAGGCACCACTTTGTGGTTACTCTCAACCTTGTTTATAACTGATTTGGTGCCTAAAAATTTCAAAATACAAAGGGTCTTGATTAGTTTGTATAGTGTAACATATACATGGTTTATATTTGAAATACTTGTTTTCAATGAACCTTTGGTATCTAGGTGTAACGTACCATTGGGCCAATAATCGTTTGGTTGGTTACTAGGTTAAATATTATTATGGACCAATTGTCGAATTCTCATATGATGTTTTTTGCAGTGCAAAATCATCGGTTGCTGATTCGGATGGCTTGCGGCATGTGTTATTGTGTCGAGTGATTTTAGGAAACCCCGAAGAGATTTCTTTGGGTTCACAAGAGGGCCAACCGAGTTCTATGGAATTCAATTCGGGTGTCGATAATCTTTCGTCACCAAAGAAATATATCATTTGGGAACCTTATATGAACACTCATATCCTTCCAGCTTTCATAGTCACCTTCCATGCTGATTCATTAACAGGTAAGCAACCAAATGCAGCATCTTCAAAATTATTTTTTTGTTTCTAAGCTTTATAATTTCTTCGCTTTCTAAAATAAGTGTCCACAATAAAAAGACAAACAACTTTATAAAATTTCAATTATTATATTTTTAATGAATTAAACGACAGTTTTACCCTTTAATTGAGGAAGATATCTCATAATTAAGGGTAGATTGGTATAATATGTACTTCTTTTTTAAACAATTATTTTGGTGAACACTAAAATAAAAACATGGACGTTTATTTTTGGAAAGGAGAGAGTAGGGATGAAGTAGAAAGAAACCGTCTAAAAGTTAGAAACCGTAAAAACCAGTTTGTATGCATGCAAAAAAGCAGGAGATCTCAGGTTTAAATCAAAGGAGTGGTCATGGAGGTTCAAATGCGGTGACTACGGGCTACTTGCAAAGCATGTGGTCGACCTGGGATTAGTCGGCTCGCATAGCGGGTTGGATATCTAGATTAATAAAAAAAAAGCAGTGTTCATAAAATGTTAATTTATATATGAAAGGTCAAAAAACATTTTGAGTGTGTTGGCAAAAAAACGTTTATCCATTAAACACATGTTCATACTCACAAAAAAGTACAATACATGTGATATGATATGAATCATAGATTAAAAAATAGAACTCGAGTGGATGGTTTTGGTTGATATTCACGGGTTCCGTTTTCATACCTGTGTTGTTTTGCCTACGAAACAATACGTGGAATTGATTTTTACGGTTTCTAACTTTTAGCTGGTTTTTTGTCTGATTTCTTGCATCATATGGTTTAATTCTTGATTCTTTTTGAAATCCAATCTTATAACTGAAAAATTCCAAATTTTTAGGAGTTGGATCCTTAAGAACACCAACATCACCACATATGAGCATCAATGGTTTGATGAGGCACCTCAAGAATTATTTGAGTTCTTCAAAGATGATGTTACTCAAGAGACACCATCATGAGTATCATGTAAGTTGTTTTTTACTTCCGTTTTTTGTTTTTTGTTTTTTGTTTCTCGTTTTATATTTTATTTTGATTAATTAATTTAATCTAATTAATTAACATGTTGACGAACAGAAAAATAATATCTCAAGATCAGTATTCATAAGAAACTTGAGGGCAATCGCCGGAGATGATGTTCTAAGGGCGATAGTTCAAGGCTTTAAATGAAAAAAAAGGTACGATTTCTTAAGTTGAATATAACATTTTTTTGTTGTCTTTTTGTACAGTTGATTTCAGGAAAATATACTTATCAAACATCATTTATTGTGTTCAAAAGCAGTTCGGTGTAGAAACGAAGGACGGTTGAGAGAGAGGACCTTGGAGCCAACTATTTATTTTCGACGTGAACAAATTAGTTATATATAGAAAGTAGATTTTAGGATTTGAGTTTTTTTCCCTTGTGTATGTTTTTAGCATTAATTTGAAATTGTTAATAGAAACCCAATAGAATTTGTGATCAGTTGATGAATTGGTGTCAAAAATTATAACCATGATTTTGATTTTGATTTTGATCCATAAAAAACACACCGAGGTGCTTGTATATGAAACCGTGGATTTAGATGTGTGAAAATGTGAACGATTTTGAGCATTTAACGAACTTATGGGTTCGAGGTTGTTTATTTCGAGTTCAAGTCAGTTTCGAGCATAACATAAGGTTTTGTTTAATCGTTTAATTTAATGATTCACGTTTGGTAATATCAGTAGTTGATTGGACTCATTCCAAAGCTTGATTGAATTTTTTGATTCAAGCTGGATCAAAACATGTATTTTTTTGAGTCGATTATTCATAAAATTATATAATTTTACGTTGGGTTGTTCGGGTTAATCGGTTTTTTGATTACTCATAGTTATTAGTATTTAAGAAAGGAGTTCAAACTATAGATAAATTATTGAAGTTGCAAAAGTTAATACATAGATGTTTCTAAATATATTGTTTTTTTTTAGGTTTTCTTAAACCATTTTGTGTTTGACTCGAAACAAAATTAAGTATAATAATTTTGTAGTTGGTCGAGAGAACGGAGATAATAAAAGTATGATGAAACCTTGAAATTACTGAAGTCAAACATAATTGTGATTGATGTACTAAAATTAATCACTCAACTTGTGACATATGACAGGCATCAAACACGTAATCAATAGAACATAAATAGCATGATGTCGAGACAGTGACTCACAACTAGAACAATAAATCACCAATACTTTAGTTTCATCAATTCGACAAGATTAAACAGGTGACGCTTTTCCCATAACCAGTTGTCAAAGTTATGTTCCTTTTTGCTAATTTAGAGCTTCTTGTCATTCTTTTGTCATGCTTACGATAGAGATCAAAGGATTTGCCCTCAAAATGGATTGCATTTAGATTGTTAAATAACTGTTTTAACTTATAACAAACATGATTACAAGTTATAACGTAATTAAAAACTTTTCTATCTTTCAACATTTTCTTTATCCATCATATTGGATGGGTTGTTACAAACTCCCCACTTAAATTTCTCACGTCTTTGCAGACTTTCCTAGAATCCTCATTTTAACCGACGATGTGAGATCCATCTATTATGTTTCAAGCACCTGACTCCCTCAAGGACTCATCACATTCAATGACGCTTGCCCCCCCCGCTGTCCAAATGCAATATAAGTATCAGTCCTGCTATCATCTGTAATGCTCCAAACCCAAAACAACAGATTGATCTAATAACCTCTGAATAAACATAAAATCATGATAAAAGTTATTATTAGCACACAACATAGAAAACTTACAAATATCTACCTTTTATAGAATACAAAGTAGAAGTTCATCTTATATACATTCATATCAGCTTAAGATCATATAAATCATATGACAAATAAATACTTGATATTGTTTAGTTCAAATAATTTCTAAGCCGATATTGATTTTATTTATTGATGAATTGGTATATTTTTATTTAAAAACTATTAAAAACGATAATTTATTCCTTCATTATTATGTATATATACATTTTTCATTAAAAAAATTTATTCGGGTAAAACACTGATTACAATCCGATTAGCTTTATACAGATTTCGCCTTTAACGACACCAATATAACTGTCTTTTTGTCTTAAGGGCTGTTTGTTTACCTCTTAATAGTTCTATTAAGAGACAATATCTGAATCGTTAAGAGGTAAATATTGTTTGACAAAAAAAAATATGTTTCTTAATGGTTTTCAAAACTTTCTGAATGGTTTTGTATAATGGATCTTTCTTAATCATTCAGCGCCTTAATTTCATTGTAAACAATTACCAAATAATTATATCTCATTTTACACTATATCATGAGAACCTCTTAATCATTTTAACCACTTAATTATTCTACACCAAATTATTCAGCAACTGCCAATATACGCCTTAGTCACCAGTTATGTGTAGCGTGCGTGGAGGAAGGAGGTCTAGGATCGAACCTGGACCTATCTTGTATTTGATTTCTGTCTATTTTCTGACTAAAATAGACATAATAAGAAAAAAAGAAATTATTAAAAAATTACTTTTATATAATTAATATAATAAACAATATTATAAACAAGAGACAAAATGAAATGATATATTAAAATAATAAATAAATGTAATAATAAAATTGTCAAACCTACTAGATGACGAAGATTGATGGCCAAGCAAATATTTAAAAACGATTCTAGAAAACCATATCCAGTTTACACGTGCGCCTCAATCCAACCACCTTCCCTTTCTTTGCAAGACACGATTTATAGAAATCGTCAAACGTTAATTTTTTCGAACCACCCCCTTTCCTTTTACAAAACTTACACTTTTAACCCCAAAGGACTAAACCATAAAATTTCACCTGTCATTATTCTCCACCAACAAAAGAGAAAGCGATTATTTGTTTATTTTTTAATTGTTTCATTAACAAGTAATATTTGAATTTTTAAAAGATGAATCTGTTTAGTAAAAAAAAATCTGTCTTTTTTTGGTTCTAAAAACCATCTAAATGATTCTATATCATGAGTCTTTCTTAACCATTCAGCGTTATAATTTCATTATAAATAATTATATTTTATTTTGCACTATATCATGAGAGTCTCTTAATCATTCTGACCACTTAATCATTCTGCATCAAACCATTTAGCAACTGACAAACAACTCCTAAATTGTTCAAGATAGCCAATCTTTCCAACCAAATTTAATTTTTAGTAAATTTTTTAAGTTAAATTTATATTTTAATCAAAGTTTATGTAAATGTCTTACATGTACAATGAAATTGAGCAAAATAACTATTTTTCTCAACCAAATTCTCTTTTTAGCAATTTTTTAAATTAAATTCTCATTTTAGCCCGAACTTATGTAAGTGTCTTGTGCATTTATGTAAAGTCTATTTTCAGATTTAATTTTTTTATGTGAGGATCGTGTCTCAGTCCCAGTATAGCTGATCATCCTTTTAGACCTGCTATTGATCATCACTTTCATAAGCTATTACCTCACCAATTAGTTAATCAGACACGAGCCTTCTTTATTTACGTCAAGATTTTTTCCTTTTTTAATCTGAAAATAGGATTTATAGGATTGGTTATTTTGGTGGGGTATATTGTTTGTCCTTCCTTCTAGAACGGTCTTAGATAGTCTATATTACACTTTCAGCCCCTTATGTTTGATTGTATTACACGAAACGCCCTTTGAAATTCAAAGTTCAAACGAAATTACGTGATCATAAAGAATATATAACCAGAAAAGTCAATTCAAATATTTGTGCAACTACACTGAAAAGGAACCCCAACTTTGACTCGTGACCCTTCTATATAACTGCCTACATCTATGGAGTTTACCATCAGTTCACACATTTCTTACTCTCACCTTCTCTATAACAAATCGCAGAAGTTTTGATCCAATCCACTTCAACACATTTTTGATTTTGGAGCTGAAATTTTGTTTTTCGTTTGATTGATTTCTAGATTCAGATCGATATGAGTTTGTTTTCTTCGGATTCTGATCGCGTTTGTATCGATCGAGATGAAGATCTTCAGCAATCGGTTGATTTGGTTACCGGTGATATGAATCGAAAACTTGATCTGGAAAGTGATTATGATTCGACTCCAAAGTTGTTGCCAGATTCGGAGGTTCATGAAGGTTTTGAGGATGAAGATGAAGAGGATGATGATGATGATTTTACGTTTATGTATATAGGCGATAAGGATTCGCCGATGTATGCGGATAAAGTGTTTGAAGACGGTCAGATCCGGCCGGTGTTTCCTTTGTTTGATCAGAATTTGTTATTAGGCGGTGAGTATGAGGTTGAGGAAATAGATCGGTTGCCGGTTCATCCTACGGTGGATAAAATTTTCATTGAATCCCCTCGTGGTCATCCGTCGTCTACGGCGTCGGAACATGAAGAAAACAACGATGTAGCGGCCGGACCGTTTTGTGTCTGGTCAAAAGAATCAGTTACCGGCACGGCGGAGCTTAGTAAAAAGAGTAACTCCACCGGTTTCTCGAAGCTCTGGAGAATAAGAGAAAAAGTTGGTCGGAGCAACAGCGATGGCCGTGATGCCTTCGTGTTCCTCAAAAGTTCCGACAGAACATCGACAACAACAACAACCTCCTCATCGTCCACGAAACCGGCCACCGGTGCCGGATCATTTGTCAAGGTCAACGCTGCCGGAGAAAAGGCAAGAGTTGTTAAGCAAGGGACGAAGGCCAAAAAACCGACGGTATCACCTCACGAAGCTTACTTGAGAAGTAAAGGAGAGCATACGGAAGAAGAACGCCGGCGGTCTTACCTGCCTTACCGGCCGGAACTCATGGGATTCTTCACCAATGTTCACGGCGGGTTAAGCAAGAACGTGCACCCTTATTAATCAGAAAAAATAAAAACCATTATTTGATTGTTTACCGATGTTCATAATTTACTTTTACAGTAATTTTTTTTAAATGTTTATTGGATATGCTGTTTTGAATCTGGACATATGAAATAAAACAAACACAAAAAAGATATTAAAATCAATTAAAGTTGTTTTGTTGTCGACTTCATTTGATTTGAGCAAAAATGACAAACTTCGCTTTCATCGTTGATTTTAAGACACTTAATAATTTATGATTCATTATTACTTATTTGAATGCAACTTGACATATTTTATTCTAGTTTTGTTATTGAGTTTTAAGATTTATTGTCAAATATTGTATTTTTAAAAACTATTTATTTGATGGATAGTGATTTTTATAACCTCTTATTAAAGTTTTGAAATTAATTGTATAACTTATATAGCTTTGGCATTGAATTTTAAAAATTCAGTCACAGATTATGGATAGAAGTCAAAATGTTTGTTAGATGATAGATGAATCTAATCAAAGAATTTGGGTTTTGATCATACCTAACTTATCCTATATACTATTAGCCGTGTATAAGTCAAACAAAAATTGTATTTAAACATGATCTAGACATGCTGTTGATGTCGAGCTTAGTTCAATTCGTTTGCAACCGTAGACATACATCAATAGGCTCACAACGAAAATTTTACTTGTTTAGATAGGTTTATATGACGAAATAAATTATAAGAGCATCTCCAACATATATGTTATATTTTCTCTTAAATTTGGATATTTATTCATTTTCTTTCTCTATTTAAAAGAGAATTAATATGACTAAAACAAACTTTTCTCAAATTTACAAAATTCTTAAAATAACATAATTATTAAATATACTCTAAATCACAAACAATTGAACAACCAAAAGGGTTCTTTTGCTTAATGCTAAAGAAAATGAAAATCATATTTAACTCAAATAGCAAAAACCCAAAATTCAACACGTTCGTTTGACAATTCTCGTGGCTGACCCAACGCAAAGGTCACGCCTTTCACAAAGAGAATCTAAATAAACAACTCACCATACTATTTATTTATTTTATATTTATATACTAAAAAAACCACACACGCTTATTACGTTTATTGGTATTACATATAAAAAGAAACATAGACTTGTACCAAAGATGTGTAGAAAGACCAGATTTTTTTCAAACCGATTTTGACCAGACTTTGACCAACCAGGCTTCTTTCAGACCAGTTGATGCTCACCTCTATCTTGGACATCAGGCCTCAAGGTATTGGGTATATAACTACCTTCCCCGTGGCTCGGTGGCTCTCAAGGTAAGTGTAAGCTTCGATAACTTTGTCAAAAGGGAATGGGGTTTTAGGGTCGAGCAATGGCTTCACTTTTCCGCTTTCAAGGTACGGACTCAGTTTCGTCAAAATAGATCCATCAGACGTGAGAAAGAAGCTAATATGTGGCGGTTGAACAGAGTCGGCTATGGACACCACAAGACCATTTTCGTTAACGGCCTTCACGGCTTTCTCCGCTTGTCCTACAACATGAAGAAACAAATTTACAATTCTACCCTTAATTATGAAGATAAAGAAACATTATACTCCTTACTTTCTATAATAAGTGTCCACATTTCTATTTTTTTTGTCTCAAATTAAGTCTATATTTCTACCTTCCAATTTTACCCTTAATTATGAGATAATAGAAATTCATTGCTCCTATTATTGAGGGTGAAATTGTTATTTAAATGATTAAAAAATGTAATAATTATATATGTCTATTTTATTGTGGACATTTATTTTGAAAATAAAAGATAGTATTTTTCCAGTAAAGGCTTTACCTGCATTATCTTTTATTATATTATCACAAACTGAAGTGGGTATTTGATATTAAACCCCTTCGATTAGGATGATGTGATGCATTACTTTTTGGTAGCATAGAACAAATCAAATCAAAACGGGACCAGTAACTTCTAGCCATACCAAAACAAAGTCTGAGAGCATCACTATTAACTATACTAACAATAGAGATTTTGGAAACTTAAGGTCCCTCAGCTCATAGGTCATTGGATCATGCAACTCCTGATCTAGTCACAGAACGGAAGAAGGAAGTTCGAACTCAAAGCCAGTATCTGAGTTGGCTGTCCTTGGTAGACTTGAAGTCGGAAAAGGAAGTATATTTTTGCAACAACAACTATGTTATACCATATGCCGAAATAGAGAAAAGAAGAAAGAAATGGTAGAAATCTCCAAAATTGGAGAAATTGCTAAAACTTCATATTTAAGATATGGCAAATAATATTTAATTATTTCTCACCAATATGAGACCTTGAAATTAAGTGTTTGGAAGAGAAAATTAATATTTTAATAATATAGCCAATGATAGAATTACTAAAATAGAGTTGTCGTGGGAGGTGGATGTTAGTTTTTTTAAATGATAACATAATCGTTGGAAGTGCTCTCTGAGAATGAGATGTATATATAGATATGACCTCTTGGTAGCATGTTAGGTGTAAAAAATGATAAGTTCCACGGGAATAGGTAGTAATTGGCGCGTATTTCTTCCAACATGGAAATCCTATGAAGCAGAATTCTTACCAATTGCATCATAGACAACATCGTATTTATCGGGTAAATCTTCAAAGTTGTCTTTGGTGTAATCAATGGCAACATCAACCCCTAGACTCTTGAGTAACTCGATCTTTCCTGTACTAGACGTGGCTGCTACTTTCGATGCACCGTATACGTGTTTTGCGAGCTGTATCAAAAGATATTATCATACACAATAATTTTGACGAACACAAACAAATACCATATGGATTATTATGCATACAAAAATTTATATTTATGGATATAAACATTTTTTGATGCATGTTTTTTGTTTTTAACTACAAAAACAAAAGATAGGACGATGCTAATTCCAAAGATAGTGAGATAATTGTGAAAGGGGAAATGGGGTGGGATAAGGAGTCAGAAAAGCACATGTGAGGAGGCTGGATCCAGTCATCCAGAAATTCTTTTCGCCGACAGAATAATAATCAAGATACACATTAAAACATTATAAAATCAGTTTCAGTTTCAATGATTTACAATATAAGATTTTATATTATACCATTAAAACTCAAATTTTAGTTCCGATATGTAGCTGTAGTCGTTCCATCTTCAGAGATGATATCCAATAGTAACACAAAATGACAGCATTTGTTAAGAGTGGTCAAAAGATTGATACTGAGACGGACAATGTGTAGCAGGGAGGGCACAATGGCATATAGCTAAGAATATAGTCGAGAAATGGAGGGATTGAAAGTTGGGGTATGCATCTGGTGGGTTCGGGTGAGTATGGTTGGGCAAATCAAAAACTCGATCAGATGTCAGATATGAAAATCAAATCCTGATTTTTGGATTTCGGATTTCGGATTACTTTGGTTTCGGGCTAAGGTCGGTCGGATTTGGGTTTAGTTACGATGCAAAAAAAAATACATTCAATCGATTTTGAGGATGAATTCAATCGATTTAGAGGATTGGTAAATCGATATGCTTAAAAATTTGAAAAAAAAACACGGCTGACTAGGATTTTTAGATTTTTCAAAGATGAATAGATAAATAAACATATTTATACAATATTTAAAATATATATGTATATATATTCTGGGTTTTCTGACGGGTCGGATGAACACAAATTTTCCCTCAAAAATCGGTTTACGAATTTTCGAATTTCTGGACATTCAGGTTCGTTATCAACATCTTATTTTTGGTTTAGATTCAGATTTCGGACCATTCGGGTTTTACACACCCCTAATTGAAAGGTCCCACAAACCGTGATGAACATCTGGCAACAGAAGTTCAATCAAGATACTATTTTGTTTCAAAATATATGTCCACAATAAAAAAACACACAATTTTAGGAATATGTAATTATAATATTATTTAATTAACTAAAGGATAATCTTACCTACAATAATGTAAAATAAAGATATCTAATTAAGGGTATAATGGAAAAAGAGATGCTTATTTTTAGAAATAGACACTTACTTTGAGAAATTAAAATACAAATATAAACAATTATTTTAGGATGAAAGGAATAGTATTTTTATGACTTATCAATTTTTTTTCATATTATTATCATTTAAAAGAAGGTTATTTTTATGTTTGTGATTTTGATATGTTTTCAATCTTAGAGGTGATGTTATTTCCTTTTCCTTCGAACGAATTCTCAATTTGGTGGGGAGAATAAGGATATAAATTAGAAATAGCACCTTCTCGACAACTATTTACTCTTTTTATTAAGGATTAGACCAGATAAAAAGCTCTTACTAAAGAATAATTGTGTCAAAAATGTTCTTTACAAAGTTTCATGTTTAAGCTCTAAATAGATAATGGAATGATTATATATTTACATTATTATATAAACAATAAAAGCTTGGTGTATCAAGTATATATCTTCCAACAAATATCATTTGCAAGTTTGTAGGGGCATTTACCAAATACTTATCCGGTAAGTATTTACCAGTAAATTTAATACTATCATTTACTTACCGCGTAAGATTTTAGTCCACCAAAACAGTATCGTACGCAACAATTTACCTGGTAAGCGCTTACCATGGTAAGAGTCGTCGTCCTCACTTACCGGGTAAGACTCTTGGTCTTTCTCTCGTTTTTACGGGGTAAGATTTTTGGTCCTTACCATATTCATCCGGTAAGGTAATGCATAGACGGACCTAGTTAAGTGCCATGTGTGGCATGTGCCACCGTATCGTTTCTCCGTTGAAGGGTAAAAAATTTAGGGTTCGTGAACGGTGCAACTGTATTAATTTGTTATGTGCCACTGTATGTAATTTGAAACTACAATGAGAACAAGTTTTATTTGGTAGAGTTGGTTTGCAAGGCTTTTATTCCACCCCACACCCAAGTCCGAATTATGTTAGTGTCATTTTCTTAGTCAAACGGTGCCACCATTTGAAAAAAATTCCATATATTTGTTTTTTATAGTCAAACGATGTCACTGTTTGAAAAAAAATTCCTATATTTTTTTTTTCTTATGGTTAAATAGTGCCACCGTATAAATTTTTTTTTGGGTCCATCCCTAAGGTAATGTAACTTGATGTTCACTTACCCGAGTTAGCATTTGATAAACAACCCATTACTTATTATATTTGATTTTTGAAGATATATGTTTGACACACATCACACACCAAGTTTTTATTGATTAAAATGAGGTACCCAATTCGCTATAAAAGTGAACGTAGATGAAAGGACCAAATCTTGTTATAAAAGTGAAAATAAATGGAGAAACTAGAACTGTTTTAAAAATGATGGTAATCATATAGGAGCTAAATGGACGAAACCATCCCTTACTAACAACAGTCCAATTGACGACGTTATTAAAGAGACCATATCCATTATAAATATGAAACCATATGACTTTCTTTCGTTAAAAATTCTTTTCAAGAACCTTACTCACGAATTGATATAAACTATAAAGACCAAATTTACAATTAACCTTATAATATTAAGTCATGTCAATTGGGGGAATGAAAAGTCATGTCAATTCCCTAAAATGAACCAAGCAAATGTTGATTCGTTAAAAAAAGAACTCTCGCATGATTAGAGCAAGAGGCAATAAATGGCAAGTAAGACCCCTAAAGGGCTATATGGTTGGTTTTTTTTTATTAATTTTTGTATCAATAAAATTGTATGTGTGAATTTATCTCTATGTACTCTGTATAGATTGCAAATATTTTTGTTTTAGATGGTATTTTCATAGATGAAAGGAAATAATTTTTTAACTAGGACGGGACAAGTTTAGAAAAACTTGATTTTATGTATAAAACTTCTCTAGAAACATAGTGAATAAGCTATTTGTTTTAATATTATTACAACAATTACAAACAGTCATATATAGCTAATCAAATATGCAATAATTCTCGTTATGCTGCTAATAAAATTTAAATACTCATTGCGGTAAAATAAAATATCTATTACTTTTACCCACAAAAAGGTTCAGGTTTTCAATCCACGTTTATTGAAATTAAGATGCAAATTATTTTAAGAAGGAAAAGTGATTCAAATTTTATAGGATATAATAAAAAATAAAAAAGAAGTGCAGTTTTACGAGAGTAAAGTACCTGAATTACGAAGGATCCAACTCCACCAGCACCATTAAGAACAAGGATCGATTTACCTTCACAGAAACCTGCCCGTTCTAGACCTTCATACGCAGTCTCAATTGCAAGAGGGAGAGCAGCGGCCTGTACAAAATCCAAGTTCTTAGGTTTCAAAGCCAACAATCTCTCTTCAACAGCAGTGTATTCAGCTAAGGTTCCAAACTGTTTAGGTCCGCTCGCACCGGTTGCATTTACATCTCCGTACACCTCATCTCCTTCTTTCAACCCTTTTACCTGGCTTCCGACCTTAACAACAACTCCGGCGATGTCGAATCCTGGAACAATCTATTACCAAAAGCAAACGCCATTAATTACAATCCTTGCCACAACTGATTGTTCGTCAAGAGGATAAAATTTATGTAACAACCGCATCTGATTCTATCGAATTCAGTACTTCTACAAATTCAATTACGTTTTCAAGTACAACGATTCACCAATTAGCTGACCTAGAACGTGATAGAAACTGAAGAAGAGACGATTAAAGCATTCGTATGATTAAACAGCAACAAACAAGCCTCAATCATAAAATTCAACAATAATATACTGAAAACTCAGATAAACGGATCAAACAAACAATAGATCCAGCATATTATGACCGGAAACCTTACCGGAAAAGGAGAATCAGAGGCTTTCAAGAATCCATGTCTTCTTTTGAAGTCGATAGGGTTAAGAGCAGCAGCAACAACCTTAACCAAGACCTGATCATCATTGATCTCAGGAACAGCCACATCGGTGACGAATTTCATGACATCAACACTTCCATATTCATCATACTTCCAGGCTTTCATCGTGATTTTGAGTTTGAGGACTGTTTAGAATCACTGCTTGTGAAGAACGAGCAGAGGCTTAAAAAGAGTTGTAGATAGATAGGAGGTGAGAGAGAGAGAGAAACTTGATATATTTTGATATTTGCAAAAAAAGATATGATAAGATTACTACCAATAATATGTATTCATTATGTCTGATTGATTTGAACTTAGCTCAAAAAGTCAAAAGTACCAGGGATCTCATGTTCAAATCCAAGAAGGAATAAAGATCCCCTTGTAGCCACGGATGCGGTGACTTCAGGCTATCTGCAAAAACAGGTAATCGTCTTGAGATTAGTCGACTCGCATAACGGGTTGGATATCCAGGTTAATTAAAAAAAATGTGTATTCATTCGATAAAAAACAAAAAAAATGTGCAAAATTGGTTTTCTTTTTTGCGGATGCTTATGTTATCTAATGACTAATCTCAATAAATTGTGTCTGCAAGAAATCAATTTTGATAAACCAATGGTTACAATTGTTTTATACACTGAATCATGTGTAAATGAGATATTCCACTACATCTCTCATGACTTCAACTACTATGCCACAACCATTGTGGTTTAATTCTATGAATTTAWG